CTAACTAACTAACATCTATCATATCATAATTAATCTAAATATATCATAACATATTTTCCAATAACAACAATTCACTAAATACAGACATATAATTACTAACACATCAACATGTAAACAATACATAATTATAACATACCGAATCCCGATCTATCATGAGAAAACTAAAGAAATTCATCTAAATTCATAACTAACTAACTAACATCTATCATATCATAATTAATCTAAATATATCATAACATATTTTCCAATAACCGCAATTCACTAAATTCAGACATATAATTACTATCACATCAAGATGTAAACAATACATTATTATAACATACCGAATCACGATGAGTTTCTTGAGCAGTAAACCAACTCCAAACCAGCTGAGAAAAAGACCAAAAAAACACTAATTTTTGTACTAATTTGCTGTAAGGCAGCAGGAAGGAAGTGGGGGTCGGAATTTATAGGAAAAAATGCCAGCTAATCACCGCAGTGGACAATTGCGGTGAACACATCACCGCTTTTGTCCAAAGCGGTGATAGCTAGGTCGCTGTGACCTAATTTTCCACCTACCAGGGCTCTAAAACGTGGTCAATTATCACCGTTTTGGTTGACGGCGATGATGTGATCATCGTTTCGCACAACAGCGGTGAGGCAATCACCGTTTTGGACAGCATCAGTGATTACTTCCCCGTTGTTGTCGAAAGCGGTGATGTGTTCCCTGTTGTTGTCAAAAGCGGGGATACCTTCCCCGTTTTGGACTAAAGCGGTGATCATAATCACCGTTGAAGACAAAGACAGTGATGTTGAAACTGCTATACTTTGGGAAATAAGTTTATAAGTGCCGTATTTAGGGAATTTTTTTTAATAATTAGAGTATTCTTGGATTTTTTCCGCTTATTAAACACGATCATTACCTTGTGGGATTGATCTTAAATTTGAGATTAGATTTAAAAGGGGATCCCTAAAAAACAGAAGTATTTCTAAATATCCTTAAAGCCAAGATTTGCAATAGATTTGGGTTGGTTTATGTTTATTCCGTAGGGGTTTGAAATGGATTTCTCCTGGTTAACAGGGATTAGAGTATATGTAGATCAAATTAGCGAGGTTTTGTTATATATCTGTAAGCATGAGTTGGTTTCAAATAAAAATGGTTTGAGTGGAAGCAGAATTAGGAAATCAAATAATCATATCTATAAGATACATCACATGCTAAGATCTACAGTTAAGAGACTTTATTTCAATAATATCAGGAACACGTCAGATATGCTTATTATGATGAGATGAATGGTTGTTATCATGCAAGGGCGAAATATTAAACGTGTTTAGATTTGAGAAATACCAACCTGTAACTTTGTAGGCTGATTTTTGGATTGATTGACTGCTTGGCGCATCCCATTTGCAACTTCCTGCTTGCCGCTTATCATCTTTTCGTCTATCGATCAAAGCTTGTTGTTTTTTCTTAACTTATGCTTTTTGCTGCTCTTTTTCTTTTTGTTTGTCACTCTTGCTACCGTCCCCTTTTCTTTTCCAATCCCTCCTTATTAAGAGTTTGGAGTTCTTATTTATCACCAAAACTTCTTATTCAGCTTTATGTGTTGTCAAAATCAGATTGGTGGGATTGAGAGGTTGCTCTGCCTACTTTGAAGAGGCAGCAGCCATTTCTTGTTGGCTTGCCTTTTCGGCTAGGATAGTGATGCTCTAAAACACAACACCAAACTGCGACCAAGTATAATCGCAGTCCGGGAATGCAGTAAAGTGACAAGTTATATTATCAACCCGGGGTCTAGATCTAGTGCTTACTCAGTGATTCTCTATTATCTAGCCAACTAAGTTAAGTGTTTGTTGTGTAAAAGCAAAAGCAGAAAGAAAGCAGGAATTGATACGGTTTTTTCAAGCAGGTAAGAGTCACTCGGGAATGAGTCCCCCTAGCTCCTTAGTTAGGTTTCAATTGTATTTCCCTGGGTTGATTTAATGTTGATTAGACTGCGGAAGATCCGACAGTAGCTTGGAATCTCTTAAGCTGACCAGGCCCTCTCAAGTCTAACTACCCGGCAGACGACTAGTCTTCACCGGGATAGAAAGCTGAAGCAGTAAGAACAGAACTCCACTACTGGAATTGGATTCCAGTACAAAGCAGTAAACTGGCTAACTCTCGTATAGCCAATCTCCTACTACCGAATGATGAGACTCTAGCAACCTAATCAGATTCTATCTATCTCAAATTGCAGCAGGAATCAGGAAAAGTTGATCAGACTTCAATTGACTCAATAAACATGCATCATTCGATTAAAATCAAACAGTAATATCATCCCAAGTCATTACAATCAATCCCTAACACATAGAACTAGGGTTCTTCATCCCCAAGTGAGAGAGAGGTTCTACTCCATAGAGAGAGAGAGGAAAACAAGGTACAAAGCAGTCATACTCATTACAATGGGAAGAATCTGCTCTGGGATGATGATTTCCACTCCTGTGACGATCTCCAAGCTCGATTTGATGAAACCCAGCTCCATGATAGCTTCTAGGATGTGTTCTTCGTCCTTTCTCTCTCTAGGGCTCTGTTTTTGCTCAAAAAGTCCGATTCCCTCACTTGTGGCTCGAAATTGGCTAAAAAACCAAGATTTCCCGACTCACACGGGCACGCCACACGGCCGTGTGGCTCACCCAGTTGCCCGTGTGAGTCAAAACGCGGCGTATCATTAAGTTGAAATTCAGGCTTCCCACACGGCCAGGGTCGCACGACCGTGTGGGATTTCCATCCTGCCCGTGTTTGCTCTCGGCGAAAATCACACGGCCACAAATGTGAGTTGCACGGCCGTGTGATGTCCAGGAATGCACGTGCGGCTTCCTTAGCACCTCGCCACGCGTCCGATCTTCGTCCAATCGACCCCAAACTCGCTCCCAAGCCTCCATTCACGTACTAGGACCTGAAATATCACAAACAAGCACAACCTAGCGTGAAATCGGCCTAAAACACGAGAATCAACACCTCAAACGGTGTAAGAATAGGGGTAAAAACATGTGTAATTAACGGTCTATCAAACTCCCCCACACTTAACCGTTTGCTTGTCCCCAAGCAAACCAAGTCAGATACAAGGTAAGCTCACATATTTCAATCAACCAACATTGGGGACAAGTCATAGTTGACCCTTAACATAAATACATGCAACTAAGACAATTATCTTACTGTTAGTATAGAAGTATTCACCTAACCAAAATTTATCACAATGGTATGGATTAATGAATTGTTGTGTTTGTTTGAATTGACTTAGTCTTTTAGCAATTTTCATAGGCTAAAAAGGACATTGCTTTCAAGTTTTCATCCAACATAATGTATGAGATTTCTCTAAATTAGGCGGTCATATGTTGTGGTCTACACTCAACATATACAAATATACATTATAGGAACAATATCAAGCTTTATATTTTACGAGTCTAAAAAGATGAACATTTAACTCTCGAGTGGTTATTCAAAGCATTAAGTATGTGTATATATTAGATATATAACTAATTATTTATCTGGTTAATTTGGTTTGGCTGGTTAGGAGTGTATGAAACCAAACCAAACACCCTAAACCAAACAAGCTAAAAACTTTAACCAAACCAAACCAATTATCCAAATTAACCAAACCAAATTATCCAAATAGTACTGGTTAAAACGGTTACCATGGTAACCACACCGTTTGAACACCCCTAATTAGGAAACAGGATTAACATAATACCAAATTATCCAAATAGTACTTGTTAAAACGATTACCATGGTAACCACGCCATTTGAACACCCCTAAAGGAAACAGGATTAACATAATACACCCCTTAAGGATATTAAGTAATAAAATGAGACGGAATGATTAGAATAACGCATGAAGGGCTAGCAGCCCAACTGGTTCTACTGCTGTTTACAATTGCGTACAAGGCTGACTGCACGAGTTCGAAACTCGGCATGAACTAATTTTTGGGTTTTTTCGTTTGAGACAGAGACAAAGATAGGGGTATTTTCGTACTTGAAATACACGGGGTATAAACCCTTTTTAGGAAACCCTAATCTAATCTAACCTAGGGGTGTCAATTCGGGTTCGGTTTTTTGGGTTTACCCGAAACCAACCCGATTAAATACATTTCTGGTTTTTAGGGTTTAGGTTCGTTTCAGGTTTCGGGTTTTTTTGGTTTAGGATTCGGTTTTGCTTATTGGTTTTTCGGGTTCCGGCTAAAAACCTCCAATGAATAGAACTCAACCCGTATTTTTAGGCGTTCGGGTTTTCGGGTTTCGATTTTGCTTTAACCGAACCCGATAAGGAAGTTTCGGGTTTCGGGTAACCGGAACCCACAAGTCCTTATCGGGTTCGAGTTTGGTTTTAGTGATTTTCGGTTTTGGGTTTTCGGGTTTTTTCGAGTTTCGGTTTGGGTAACCAAACCCGACCCGAATTGACACCCCTAATCTAACCTAACGCCAAACATCGCCCAACTCTTTCGATACCTCCTCGTGCTCTACTCTCTCTCTCTCTCTCGATTCTTCCTGAACACACGACGATAACCGCACACAAAAAAAAACGACGAAGAACAGTCGCCCTCTCCCTCTTCCTCTCTCGATTCTCTACTCGCTCACTTCTTCGCCAAACCAGAAACCATCTGGTTCCTCATCCCAACCCGTCGTCAGTCTTCTTCTCCTCGCTCTCGTTTTATCCCTGCCTCTCAATCTTTCGCTCTTTTCTTGTAAAAAACGACTCCTCTCCTCAAACCGTCACCAGAAAAACGACTGTAACAAACCAGTGGAAAACAGCTGGCTGTTGACGTGGAAAGAAGCTCAAGAGTATAAATAGGGTCCTTCAATTGTGATTTGGATCTTTGACAATTCTGTTATCCTTTAGCAACTTTACCAAATTAGTTAGCTTAATACAAGAAGACTCTCTGTTCTTCCCCATTTCCCCTTTCTTTCCCTTCGCCATTTCCATCTTTGCCAGATCTCCCAAGCACGGTCCTTACAAGTGGTATTCAGAGCCTTTGATCTGGCAATGGCTTCTAACACTTCTCGTATCATTGATTTGGAGGCACAAATGGCGTATGTACAGCTCCAATTGGATTCTCACGACCAGGATTTGAAGACCGCCATTGCGGAGCTCGCTGTTTCAACGAAAGACAACATGGATGCTCTGGCGGCATCCTTCGCCCGGAGTCGCGAGAAGTCTCCGATCGGTTCGCCATCACACTCGCAGGATCCCGTCGCCGATCAACACAAGTTTCGCCAGCAGCAGCAACGTCGGCCATCGATCCTGGATCACTATCCCCGTTTGGGGTTTTCCTACTTCTCTGGTTCAGATCCACATGTGTGGGTGATCAAGTGCAACAATCCACTCGTGTGCAGGTGCTCAATCCACCGACTTTGGCTTTCGCCTTTTATCAGGCACGATTGGAGGAAGCCGCCATCGAAGCTCGCAAGAAGAAGATGCGTTCAGCCCCTCTCAGTCGTTGGTCTGCTCCTTCTACTTCAGCGGGTCCTCCCTTCCAGCGTGAACAATCAACTCCTTCTCCGCCGGTAGGGGATCAAAGCTCCATTCCACGCGGAAATGGGCTTTGTTACAAATGTGGCGATAAGTACTTCCATGGCCACATTTGTAACAAAAAGAAGCAATTACACGCAATGCAGGCGGAGGAATCCTTCAGGTACAGTGAGGAGGAGGAACAAGATGAAGAATACCAGGGTGCTGAATTAGAGGTCTCATTGCAGGCTATGGGCTCGGGGTTTGCTGGTAATTCACTTCTCATACCAGCCACTGCCGGGAAGCGGCAGGTTACTGTCCTCATCGACACAGGTAGTTCTCATACCTTTCTAAACTCCATTAGGGCTGAAGAACTGAACTATAGGACTGAGAGTATTGCCCTATGCGTGTCAAAGTCGCTAGTGGTCATACTTTGTTGAGCAACTCAGTTTGCAAGGGCTTTAGCTGGAAAATGGAAGGGCAGGAGTTTGGGTTTGATGTTAGGACACTGGATTTACCGGCTCACGATCTTGTGTTGGGATGGGATTGGTTGGAGATAATCAGTCCGTTTCAAGTAGATTTGAAGAAGCGGCAGTTGGCTTTCGAATGGAATGGTAGAACATTGACATTACAGGGGCTTACAAAGGAGGGGCAGTGTAAGCTGATGACAGGTCGTGACTTTCAGCAGCTCTTAAAGAAACCCTCTGCCAATTTTATAGGAGCTGTATTCTCCCTAGAAGCTGTCCCTACCCCCTCCACCACACCTGCCTTCTTACAGCCCATTCTCACCAAATTCTCTGATGTTTTTGCCACCCCTACTTCCCTCCCTCCTCCTCAAACCTTTGATCACACCATACCCCTGATTCCCAACACTAAACCGATAAATATAAGACCCTATCGTTTTCCCCATCACCAGAAAGAAGTTGCTGAGAAATTGGTTGCTGAAATGCTACAATCAGAGTTCATCCAGGAGAGTCACAGGCCCTATGCCTCTCCTGTCCTGCTCATTGGTAAAAAGGACGGAACTTGAAGATTTTGTGTTGATTACCGTGAATTAAACTCAGCCACCATAAAGGATAAATTTCCGATTCCACACATTGAGGATTTGTTGGATGAATTGCACGGGGCTGTTTTGTTTTCTAAGCTGGATCTTAGGGCAGGGTATCATCAGGTGAGAATGCACCCTGCAGACCAGTTCAAGACCGCTTTCCGTACCCACCAAGGCCATTATGAGTTTCGAGTTATGCCCTTCGGATTGACTAACGCCCCTGCTACTTTTCAAGCGTTAATGAATCATGTCTTTGGGCCGTATCTGAGGAAGTTTATTTTGGTGTTCTTCGATGATATATTGGTTTATAGCAAATCAGAGTTAGACCATTTGCAGCACCTTGAGATTGCTTTACAATTACTCAGGGAACATCAGTTGTATGCCAAGGCCTCCAAGTGTTCTTTTGGCCAGCCTACTGTGGAATATTTGGGCCACGTTATTAGCAAGGATGGAGTCTCTACGGACAGTAGCAAGGTTTCAGCAATGCAAACAGGGCCTCGACCTACTTCAGTGAAAGGGGTGAGAGGGTTTTTGGGGCTCACGGGCTATTATCGCAAATTTATCAGGAACTATGGAATTATTAGCCGCCCCCTCACTGAGTTGTTAAAGAAGAATGGTTTCCACTGGTCAGAAGCTGCTGAAAACGCGTTTGTCGCCCTCAAATCCGCTATGAGCCATGTTCCATTATTGGGTTTACCTGATTTCACTCAACCTTTCACACTTGAAACTGACGCTAGTGGTTCGGGAGTGGGAGCTGTGCTCTTGCAGGGAGGTAGGCCATTAGCTTTTTACAGCAAGGCTCTGAGTCTAAGAACCAAGGATTGAGCACATATGAAAAAGAATATTTGGCTGTGTTGATGGCGGTGGAACACTGGAGACACTACTTAGAAGGACGACAATTTACAATTGTCACGGATCATGAGAGTTTGAAGTTCTTGATGGGGCAGAAGGTCCACACAGCAATTCAGAAGAAGGGATTAGTTAAACTCATGGGATTAGACTTTCATATTAAATACAAGAAAGGGCGCTACAATGGGGCAGCAGATGCTCTCTCCAGGGTATTTGAAGATGGAATTGACGGCAGTACTTGCAATGCTTTGTCTTCTGTGCTTCCTGAATGGCTTGTCAAAATCGAGCAGTCTTATGAGAATGATGTTGATGTGGCTGTTTGGATAACTGCTGCTGCTGTAAATTCGTCTGGTCCCTCATTATGGGCATACTCTGAAGGAATTCTCCGCTACAAAGGGGCTATAGTGGTGGGATCAACAGGGTTCTTACGTCACAAGCTTCTCCGCCTTTTTCACTCGTCTTCAGTGGGTGGACATTCAGGAGCTCAGGGGACTTACGAGTGACTTAAATCATACTTTTACTGGGAGAGTATAAAGGCTGACATGAAACAGTGGGTTTCTCAATGCGAAATATGCCAGAGATGCAAAGCAGAAACTGTGGCTTCACCTGGATTACTCCAACCTCTCCCGATTCCAACACGAGCGTGGCGTGAAATAAGCATGGACTTTGTGGAGGGTCTTCCTACTTCTAAAGGGAAACATGTTCTGTTTGTGGTGGTAGATAGATTCACCAAGTCAGTTCACTTTTTTGCTCTTTCCCATCCATATACAACTGCCGAAGTGGCCGTTGTCTTCTTCAATGGGGTGTTCAAGTACCATGGCATGCCTTCTACAATTGTGTGCGACAGGGATGCTACCTGTACAAGCATGTTTTGGACTGAATTTTTTCTCCTACAGCACACTGATCTACACTACTCAACGGCCTACCATCCCCAAACAGATGGACAGACAGAACGGGTTAACATGTGTTTGGAGGACTACTTGCGTTGTATGACCTTTCATCGTCCCCAGGATTGGGTTGATTGGTTAGCTCTGGCCAAGTGGTGCTATAATACCCATTTTCACATCAGCTTGCAGATGTCCCCATTTGAAGCTCTCTATGGGTTTCCTCCTTCGTTATTCGGTTTAGGAGCAGTGCTGCCCACCACAGTAGGAGTAGTGGAAGACAAGGTGACCAAGCAGCACTTGGTGAATCAATTGCTCACTTACAATATCACCAAGGCGCAAAACCGGTAGAAATAGTATGGAGATCGAAGATGGTCTGAAAGGGAGCTTCGGGTTAACGATTGGGCCTATCTTCGCCTGCAACCGTACCGCCAAGGCTCTGTTGTGGGAAGGCAGGGGAATAAATTGGATGCACGGTACTTCAGACCCTATAGAGTGATTGCTAGAGTCGGCGCAGTGGCTTACAAACTTGCTCTCCTTGTGGAATCGAAGATTCATCTAGTATTCCATGTGTCACAGCTCAAACTCTGTCGTTCGGTGGTGCCGCCAGCCGCTCCCAGCTCCCGGATACTGATGACAGTGGGTCTCTCAAGCTAGCTCCAGCTCATATTCTGGCCAGGCGTTTCGTCAACCAAGACAACAGGGCTGTGACTCAAGTTCTCATTCAGTGGACACATCAATCACCCGAAGATGCTACATGGGAAGACCTGGAAAAATTCAAGCAGCAGTTCCCCGCCTTTCCAGCTTAAGGACAAGCTTCTTTTGAAGAGAAGGGGTTTGTAACAAACCAGTGGAAGACAGCTGGCTGTTGACGTGGAAAGAAGTTCAAGAGTATAAATAGGTTCCTTCAATTGTGATTTGGATCTTTGACAATTCTGTTATCCTTTAGCAACTTTACCAAATTAGTTAGCTTAATACAAGAAGACTCTCTGTTCTTCCCCATTTCCCCTTTCTTTCCCTTCGCCATTTCCATCTTCGCCAGATCTCCCAAGCACGGTCCTTACAACGACCCAATACTTAAATAAACTCCCTCGGAGCTTCTCCTTTGGCTCGTTGTCGGCGTCGAACGCGACCTAAGAGCCCCGAATTGAACAGAAACTTGTCTATTGAGGTGAGATTTGGCTTGCATGTGCGTTTTATGCTTTTGATTCTAGGTTTGTGTTTTATGATTCTGATATTTTCTCTGCCTTTCCGGGTTTTCGGCTTCTGAACGAGGAAAGAGGGGAGAACTAGCCACACCGCCGCCGAGGCACAGCAGCAGCTGCACCGCCGCCGACGCAACAGCAGCAGCTGCACCGCCGCCGAGACAGCAGTAGCAGCCGCCGACGAGTGACTCCGCCGGGACTCTTTGGTTCCTTCTCTAGGTAAGTTTGACGAGATGGGCTTCAATTAGATTTTCTTGTTTTTTTATAATTTTGACCATTTATTCTTGCTTTTGTTTTCGCAGGTTTCAGTCAACCAGATGGAGGTGATATCTAATAACTCGAGATTTCTGTTTTTCTACTTTCTATTCGATTGAGTCCTAAATAGGTAGGAATCAATTTTCTAAATCTGCTGGGTGAATTGATGTTTATGGTAAAACTTGGTCAGTCGTTCCTTTTGCCGAGTTTTTAACTATAGAATGATTTTAAGATAGCCAAAAAACCACAGCCATCGCTTGTGATTTTGCTAGACTATTGACTATAAAACACTGTCACTGCTTGTGATTCTGCTGGATTCTGCTGTGGATTTTGAAAATCTGAAATTATCGTGTTGCTGAGTTTTAGTTCAAAACCTTTTAACATAGCCGAAATTCATTGCTACTGCTCATGATTTCGGATTGAAAGGGAAAGTGCGTTTGGGGTTGAATTCTGAGGGTTAGGAAGAACAATTAGAATGTCTTTATTAATTTTGGAATTCTAGACAATTTAAAGATGACCAAAAATCACAGCCTCTGCTTGTAACTTCGGTTCTGAAAGGGGTATTTATTTATTCTGAATATGGATAAGATTCAAAAGCGTTTTATATTACATCTCTATTTGGCTGCTTATTAAACACGATCATTACCTTGTGGGATTGATCTTAAATTCGAGATTGGATTTAAAAGGAGATCCCTAAAAAACAAAAGTATTTCTAAATATCCTTAAAGCCAAGATTTGCAATAGATTTGGGTTGGTTTATGTTTATTCCGTAAGGGTTTGAAATGGATTTCTCCTGGTTAACAGCGATCAGAGTATATGTAGATCAACTTAGTGAGGTTTTGTTATATATCTGTTAGCATGAGTTGGTTTCAAATAAAAATGGTTTGAGTGGAAGCAGAATTAGGAAATCAAACAATCACATGCTAAGATCTACCGTTATTATGATGAGATGAATGGTTGTTATCATGGAAGGGCGAAATATTAAACGTGTTTAGATTTGAGAAATACCAACCTGTAACTTTGTAGGCTAATTTTCGGATTGATTGGCTGCTTGGCCATCCCACTTGCAACTTCCTGCTTGCCGCTTATCTTCTTTATGTCTATCGATCAAAGCTTGCTGTTTTTTCTTAGCTTATGGTTTTTGCTGCTTTTTTTCTTTTTGTTTGTCACTCTTGCTACCGTCCCCTTTTCTTTTCCAATCACCCCCCCCCCTCCCCCCCTCCCTCTTAAGAGTTTGGAGTTCTTATTTATCACCAAAACTTCTTATTCAGGTTTATGTGTTGTCAAAATCAGATTGGTGGGATTGAGAGGTTGCTCTGCCTACTTTAAAGAGGCAGCAGCCATTTCTTGTTGGCTTGCCCTTTCGGCTAGGATAGGGACCGCTTTGGATTGACCAAAGCTTACCAGACTTGGACTGAGATGGGCTGAACTTGGTGGACTCGAATTGGGGTTTGGATTTGGACTTAGATTGACTCTTAATTAATTGGTGCCTTCTTTTGCTTTTGCAGGTACCTACTGCTTTGGGCTGAAAACGAGAGATTGAGTGGTCCTAATCCAATTGTTGTTGAGTGGTGCCTTCTTGGTGGACTCGAATTGGGGTTGGGATTTGGAGTTAGATTGACTCTTAATTAATTGGTGCCTTCTTTTGCTTTTGCAGGTACCTACTGCTTTGGGCTGAAAACGAGAGATTGAGTGGTCCTAATCCAATTGTTGTTCATCAAAGCCTAATTCTTTATATGTAATTATATGTAATTTATAGTTTGTGATGGCCCATGTACATAATTATACCATTTGCTTTAATTTGTTTCTTATAATCTTTGCGCAGATGTAATCTTCAATGTCAGGGGCGTAATAATAAAAATTTACACTTTTCGTTAACCCGTTCCAAATCCAATGACAACCCGTGGCCATTTTACCTAGTTGAAACATCTAAATAGTCACTAAATGTTGCAAAATTCCTCACTGCCCAATTCGTTCCTAGAATCACATGAACGATCTTGGTAATGATTGGTTTTTATTGACTCGCTACTGCTAGTCTCAACCAAATCGGTATTAGAATTAAATAAAGATGAACTTGGAAATCATTGGTACTTATTGATAGCAACTGCTAATCTCAACAAATTTTAGCCGAACTTCTACATCAAATCGTCCTTTTGAGTTTTAAACAAGGAATATGAAATATAGTTTTAGGTAGGAGGGTTGCTCTGGACAAAATGTGGTGTCTACAATTTCCATATGATATCTCAATCATTTTGGCATCTGTTTCGGGGATGGTATGACCAAACATGCCAAAACAAAAGTTATTCGATCTTGTAAACTTCTGGTTTACACTTTCATATGTACTAATATACATGTAGTACAAATTTCTCAAGTTAAGTATATGTTCTCTTAGAACATATTTCTGATGCAATATCAATTATGATATTCGTTTCTGCGAATATCTTCATAATTCGGTAATGCATCTTCAACTGACAGTTTAGTTCATTCACGTCTCAAAACATTAGCTCTTCTGGAGCCTTCACATACTCTTGTACTACATTTTGGCCATGAGGCACCTTCTGATTCAGTGAGCTATTGTAAGTGCATATACATAGTGATAAGAATATTTTCATACTATGGATATCACCAATATATTGTTTTGTTACTTCAAGTAACAAACACAATCTCTTCCGGAGCTTTTGCTTACCTCCTAATGTAACATCCCATATGAAATCCAAAGTAGCATCCAATCGACATCCACCATACTATATTGTTTCATAACACAAAACATGTATTACTTGCATAAAAAGTAAAAAGCATCAATTTAGTGCTCGGTGTTTGGTTGGAAAATTATCCAATAATGAGATAATATCTCATAAATATGAGTTTGCGCGCAATAAATCACGAACATTTTGTTAGAAACCTACTTTTTATAGGATTTTCTCGTATTTTTCCTATAAATATGTATTATGGTTTTCATTCATGATCAACCAAGAATGAATCAAGCAAAATATTAAGAAAAGTATCCTAACCCTAACCCCATGACTACCTTCTATTGCTCAGTGAACTGTCAACATTGGAAGAAGAGAATGATTTTTGTCTCCTAATCCAAGTACGCAACAGGGTTCAATGTCCCCTAAAATTGAGGTACGACCAACTTAATTCCTTGTAAGAACTCGGTGTTGAACTAACCCACCATGGAAGCTTCGTCGAAGTTGGATTGGTCCTCTAGCTTTCGACGATCAATTGGGTCCTTCGACCTAGTCCTCGAGGCAACTAGACCTCTAGATTTGTCTTGCCACAGTGTTTGAACCAGGCTTTGATTCCACTTGATGCAAGCTAAATCCTTGCTTTTGATTACCTGATTCACGCAATTGAGATTGAATCGAAAAGAACTCGATAGAACTTGATAAATTGAATATTGTAATGAACACAAGGTGCAACTTCACACCAAGGAAGAGGCTCGATTGGGTTTGGACGAAGTTCGACCACGATTGATGTGGTTTTCAATCGATACAAAGCACAAATCGAAGTTGGAACACAACCAACAACGAAGGGTTTGGTGACAAAGTTACGTTTTCTCTAATACAATAAAAAATAACTTACATCTAGGCTCTTAATTAAGCCTTTGAATAGCAATCAACAAACTAAAATCGACTTCTAAACAAACAAGGAATCAAATCTAGCTCTAACTCTAACAAGGAAACATAAATCCAAACTAGAAAAGGAAAGAATGCTTGGTTGCTTAGTACACAAGTTGCTACCTTCATGCGCAAGTAAGGAAACTCAGCCTCCATAGCTACTTTGAGGCTTTCGTTCGAAGCTTTCCAAGGAGCTTCGAACCAATCTGGCTTAGGTATTTTCTTCTCCAAGTCACCAGCTTAAATTTTTAACTCCCAGTTTCCTTTGAATGTAACCCAGTCGTCTCAAATAAGCCCTCGAAGTAAGCATCTCGAACGGTTTTTCAGACTTGACCAAAATCAGGCATTTCCCAGTTTCTTCATAGCAACTTGGACCCTCTTGTTCATGCACTTAAATGCTTCTAATTGAGCAACCAACCATTCATTGTAAACAAACTCTTGCTCTTCACTTTCCAACCTTCCTCTTTCATTTCCATTGACTAGAATGTAAGATATTAACCTCCATAGTAAGCACCATAAAACGGGTTGAACACTTAGCCAAATTCTTCCTTTTTCCTTCCAACATGGATGGATCCTTTGGAAAGCAATTCAACCTTGATCAAGGGGTTAATTAGGGTCATATCAGCGAATCTCATCACGACAACTACAGTCAGGATGAGGGACCACGAGTTTGCATTGTGGCTCTGAAACCTCTTCGAAGCCATTGCCTAGAGGGCGCATCGATGAGGAAAGATGAGGAAGAATCACCGGCCAATGAGGAGGTCGACGTCTATCTCGCTTTCTCAATTGATGACTAGCCCCAGTTGCAGGGGAAGAGGGCGAAGGAGTTGTCGGTGAAGGAGGCGACGAAGAGCGGTCGAATTTGCACGTCGAAAGCGCGATTCGGGCGAGGCAACCTACGATCGTTGGTGGCTTCACTAGTGGCATTAAGGTATGGGTTGGAGATGAAGGGCGATGATGAAAAGGATCACTGGAGGAAGAGTAGGTGATGGATCTGGCGACAGCAGGCTGCTCGCTGAAGAAGAAGTCACCAGAAAAAGAGTTTCGCGGAGAGCGACGACACAAAGCAGAACTGGGTAGTTGGGTTTCCTTGCCGGCTAGGCGGATCGCGCATGGGTTCCGCGATTAGCGCTGCCGCTATCCTGGCCGTCGACCGAGGAGAGGATGACGATGCTGCCGACAGAGGATGAAGCGAAGACGATTAAGGGCAAGGAGGAAAGCAAAGGTTTCATCTCCCTCGCAACCCTAGGTCGCATTGCTAAGCATCCAGAGTCTGTGGACCGAGAGCCTGCTGAGAGGATCGTCCGGCTTGATGGGTAGGTGCTAGGTTCAACTATGCTCGAGCTCGAGTTAGGCAGAACAACCCGCAGATGAAACTAATTTTGTCCAACTGTTTCAATTGGTCGGGAGGATTGGAATATTTGGGTTACGGGCTGGAAGTGAAGGAGAAGTTCCTTAGCTCTCTTTGGGTCGAGTTTTGTTGAGCCAACCAAGTGGACAGAAGAGTGGGCTAGCCGTACCTGAGGGAAAATCCCAGTTGGTCCCTTGCTTCTTGATAAAAGGTGGGTTGAATCATCAAGATAGACTTGGGCCGCCAATGTGCTATATTGTTGGATTTATTTTGCAAGAGAAAAACATGAAGAAGGAAAGTGATGGGCTCGTTGGGTTAAGAGTTGGCTTTCTATAAAGTATAATTTAAACCAATTTGGAGGAGAATGAAGCCCAAAAGACCTTGTCTTCAGCACTAATTCGTTGGAGTAATTTATAGAGCATTTCCATGAAGATTTTAGGTTGGTTAGTGATGAAGAGCATGAAGGAGAATAGTTCTTCGATTCTTACTTTGTGACTTTCAAAATGGAAGAGGAAGAATTGTTCGGATATGGAGAACGCGATATGTGTCACGTGATTCGAGAAGAGTTGAAGAAAGTTGGAGTTTTTGAAGAAAAAGTCATTCGTGAGATGGAGCACAATTGGAAACGAAGAAAGCGGAAGTTCAAGAAGACGAAGGTCGAGTGCAACCTTGAGGACAAGGTTGCAGTCAAGTATGGTGGATTGTTAGAAACCCACTTTTTATGGGATCTTTTATTAATTTTATTACGATTATTATTATTGTGGTTAGTAAAGATTTTTTTGAATTAGGGTTATTATTAGATTTTTCTTGTATTTGCCTATAAATATGTATTTTGGGTTTCATTCATGATCAATCAAGAATGAATCAAGCATAATATTAAGAAAGGTATCCTAAACCTAATCTCTCCCAAATCCACTCAATTCTTGACTCTTTTCTTCCCTAAATTGTCGCCGACCATTCTTCTGTTCTTCCCCAATTTTGTTCTTCGAACCCGAATCCCTAATTCTCTATCTTTAAATCCCTAATTCTTATCCTCAATCCCTAAATTCATATGCTTACAATCAATCGCGGGTGCGCAAGATCAGTCCCTAGAAGCCCTCTTCTAACACATTTTTCAAAAGTAAAATAAAAATGAATTAAAGAAATACAAATAGATAGTTGAACCAATAAGCTGGATATCTTTCTCAAATAAATATTTGTTTATAAGAAATAAACCACAAAATTTAAAAGGTGACTTGCGACAAAATTAAAGAATCCTAGATAAAATAATTTAACCAATGAGCTAGATATTCTCCTCGAATAGTATATAGCACGCTATTAGATTCTTTACTTCATTTAAGGATGAAAATTCAAAATTATAATTTTCAATGCATATTATTTAAGCACTTAAACCAATCAATATGATAAAGTACGATTTATTATACTCTACAGTGACTCCTTATTCTCTAGTACGTAGCCATCCAACTAAGTAACGGTGTTAGTGTCTTTTCCCTAGGCTAGCTACAACTCGTGTAACCCTAGGAGTTAGTTGATTAGGGTTATATAAATTGTATGATGTAATCGGCAGTACTAAGAGAGTGAAATAAGTAGAGATAGCATAATTTCTCCATGGAGTAAACTCATTCACATCGAATGAGACGAACCACGTAATCCTTGTGTCGTGTTTTTCTTTTCCGCGTTTATGTTCTTTACATGGTATCAAAGCAGGTATGTTCAATCGGAGTTTGCATCATGGCGATTGGTGGAACTGGCGATGTTGGAGCGATGGTGAATAGCGGTGTTAGCGGCGGCATAAGTCCTTCTCCACCTGTGATACTTGCCGCGCTCAAAATTTAAGCATCAGATAATCTTGGTCAATTGTTCGCGGGCTAACTTCTAAACGATTCCAATTATGGGGAGTGGGTCACCGACATGACTGAGGCCCCGATTGCAAAGAATAAGCTAGGTATCGTTGATGGTACCATTGTCAAGCCGGAAACAGCAGGTGATCTGCGCGAAGCTTGGCTCCAGAGCGATGCTCTAGTCAAGGGATGGCTGAAAACAACCATGGATAAAGAGGTGATGAGTTCATTTTCTTACACAAAAACGTCAAGGGAAATGTGGGTGGATCTTGAAGCGCGTTTTGGCAATGGGTCCGCGCCACGAGCCTATGCATTGCGGCACCTGATGAGCATATTGCGGCAGGAGAAACTGTAGGTCTCTACCTTTTACACCCAGCTAAGGGCGATTTGGGAGGAGATGCGGACTATCACCCCAATTCCGCGCTGTACGTGTGGTCTGTGCACATGTGGAGTTGAGAAGAAGGTGGTAAGCAATCTCGAGAATGACAAATTATTTGATTTCTCATGGGACTTGGTGATGCTTTTGCCACTATGAAAACACAGATTCTATCTATGAAACCTACACCACCACTTGTTGAGGCGTACAGGCTGGTAGCTATGGAGGAGCAACATAAACAGATTACGACAAGCCACCCCCGCAAGTGGATGCAGCTGCGTTCCAAGACAATCATGATCGTCCGACCATGGACCCGAATAGAAGGAAAGAGAAGGTTCAGGGCACGGAACGGAAGGAGATTCCTCGGTGTTCTCATTGTCAAAAGAAAGGGCACACGCGAGAGAGTTTCTACGAGCTGATTGGATGGCCGGAGCGCATGCCACATTCGGAAGAGAAGGAGCGCACAAATCGGGAGAAGTCTTGACCTAGCAAGCTCCGTGCGGCGCAGCCCTCCATTATGGTAGGATTTTCCATTCCTGGGTTGAATCCCGAGCAAGTGCAGCAGCTCCAAGCCTTCCTCAATTAAATGAGTGGACAGTAGCAACATGCTTCCTCGTCTGAGCCTCAGGTTCACATGGCATGCAATCTTTTAGGCGGGTCTGAATGAATCATTGATTCGGGATGCAATGAGTACATAATGAATGATGAATCCGTGTTAGATAACTCAGTTGATGTGTAAGGGTACTTGCCTGTTATTATACCGAATGAAGACAGTCTAGCAGTTAAGAAAACTGGTGAAGTCAGTCTGTCTAATGGGATGAAGCTTAGTCGTGTACTCAGTCTCCCGTTGTTTAAATGCAACTTGTTGTCAGTCAGCAGATTCACTATGGATTTCCATGTTGCCTTAACATTCTAGCGGGACTTTTGCGTCATTCAGGACTTACACTCCAGGAAGAGGATTGGGATGGGACAACTTTGTGAGGGGCTGTATTATCTATATCTCTTTAGCACCCAGCACTCGCATGCCTTGACAGCTAGTGGCGAGAAGGGAATGGGGGAGCTGTGGCACGCCCGGTTGGGTCATTCGTTGCAAAAGAAGACTCCTTGTTTATTTCATTCAGTTCAGAATAAGTGCGAGAGTAGTGTTTGTGACTCTTGTATGCGAGCTAAACAGACGCGTTTACCTTTCCCTAAGCATTTGATTAAGACAGGTCGTTGTTTTGAACTCATTCATGTTGATATATGGGGTGGATTTAAGACCCCAACTCATAATGCAACTCGCTATTTCCTCACAATTGTCGATGATTTTAGCAGAGCAACTTGGATATACTTGATGTCCTACAAGTCGGATGTGGAAGGGTATTTGAAAATGTTTGTCAATATGGTTAGAACTCAGTTTGGGAAACAGGTGGCACAGATTCAGGCTGATAACTGCTTGGAATTTTAGACAGTTGGTTTCCGGGTTTTCTATGAGGATCAGGGTATTCTGCTGCAGACGTCATGTACTGATACTGATTCGGGCCCAAATGTACACATTTTACCCCTCATTTCTTATTCGTTTAGCTTAGTATTTCGTCGTTCCTCAACATATTTCACGCTAGGTTGTGCATGTTTTGAAACATTTAAGGTCAAAAAGCGCAAAAACCGAAGAAAAGTCCGAAGTGACAATTGCCTCATACCAGTGAAGTGAAGGTGTCCCAGGAAACATCCGCAGTTCACGGCCTGACGAGGTAGTTCACGGTCTCCTAAGACTGTGAACTTCGACCACAAACCGTGAATACCGAGGCGTCCAGCGAGGTTCCTAAAGTTACCGACGACAAGGTAGTTCACGGTCTGTAAGACGGTGAACTGTGGCCATTGACCGTGAACCCCAAACAGTGAAGCGGTGCATTTCGGATGACGCTGAGTTCACGGACGCATTTAGGTGTTCACGGCCGTGAACTGGCCAATGCGTCCGTAAACTGATCGCTTCGAGCAAATATGAAGACAACAGCGGGGAGAGAGAAAGGGGAGCTAGTTTTTGGAGAAGAAACACTTTCTTTCTCTAAGGTCGAACACCTTATGAGGTTTTGTTGGGCTAGGAGCCCTCTTATACTCACCTTAGTGTTCTTGGATGTTTAGGCTATGGGAAGGACACGCATAAAGGCGTTTCCAAGTTTGGTGAACGAGGAAGGCGGTCGGTCTTCATGGGTTATCCCGCCTCGCAAAAGGGCTATCGAATTTTTGATCTTTCATCTAGGACCTTTCACACGACCTGAGATGTTTACTTTGTCGAAGATGTCTTCCCATTTTGTGAGGCAGCCCCTGTTGAGTCTCGTCCTCCTGCTACTCCACCAGTTCCTCTTGATGAAGAAACGACCTCCCTTTTGCATGACCATGAAACGTCGTACCCCAGGCGCCTCCATCAAGCGAAGACAAATCTAGCTCGGCGCTTCCTGTGCCGCAGCTGGCTTCCTCCGCATCCGCATCACCTGTGCGGCCTGCTAATGCTAGCGCTCGCAAAAGTGACCGCCGACGCCAGGTCCCTCGCCATATTGATGCGTTTGACGTCGAGCTGCCTCCCTCTAACATTACCTACCGATGGCGCAGTATGTTGATTATCAGCGTTTTTTGGTGGGACATCGTAGTTTCTTGTCCGCCGTTTCTAGTCACGTCGAACCCACTCACTTCAAGGATGTTGTGAAGTATGAAGAGTGGCGTATAGCCATGCAGCGTGAGAATCGACGCACTTGTGGGAAACGGTACTTGGACCTTGGTTAGTCTCCCTCTTGACAAGCGAGTTGTGGCCTCGAAGTGGGTGTATAAACTCAAGTTCAACCCTGATGGCACCATTGATCGGTACAAGGCCAGGTTGGTCGCCAAGGGCTTTACTCAGACTGAAGGGATCGATTACCATGACACATTTGCACCGGTTGCTAAGTTTCATCAGTTAGACGTCAGCAATGCCTTCCTCCATGGCGATCTTGATGAGGAGGTGTATATTCAGATATCCCCTGGTTTTAGCGCTCCCGGTGACACACTGGTTTGTCGCCTTCACAAATCCATTTATGGGCTTAAGCAAGCCTCACAGAATTGGTATGCGAAGTTTTT